TAAATTCAAAATTTTTTTCTACTTTTTAATCACATATTTTCCTAAAAATTACATTTAAAAATATTATTTTTCCCAAATAATGGCTATAAAATAGGGGCTTAGGTTCATAAAATTGGACGTTTAATAGAGATCTGAATGGTTTTTGTCGTTGTGAACTGATTGTGTAACCATAATAAGGTGAAATACGCTGAGGGGCCGGAGGTTCAGGGACAAGGATATAGTCTGGCGCAAGATGGGACACCTCGTTAAAAAAAAAATAATAATAATAATAATAAGGTGAAATATAACTTTCAACTTTTCAAAAGTTAAAGGGTCAATAGTGCAAATTTCCTTTGTAAAATTCCTAAAACTCAGAACTCGCCGACGAAAATCGAAGTGTTATTGAGTAAAGTCGCCGTGGTCAAAACTTCGAAACTGCCTCGGAATCCTTTGATCTCTTCACTGGAAAGCTCCTATCCCTAATTTTAGGTTTGTTTCTCTGATTCTTCTTCCTCTATCTGTGTATCTATACTATGTATGCTTGTGCGTATGTGCTTATGTATCGTATATTTGTTTTTGTAATTCAGTTGCCGAATTCAGTTTTAAGATTAGCTTGTTTATTTCAAGTAACAGATCCAATAATTGAAGATTGATGAGTTCAAGTTATGAAGTTTGTATTATTAAAAAGTTTTGTAGTTAGTTATAAATTTTTAAAATTGATGGAAAAATTAATTTTTATGGTTGCCATAAAGAAAATACCGATTTTGGTGTGATAACAGGTTACCACCTCCCTATTGAAATATTAGAAGTGATATGATTAATTTTGTTCTGATTTAATCTGGTAAAATGATCTGAAGCTGAAAATGCATTAATATCTTGTAAATTCTTTCCATTTTTGTTATTTTCAAAATACTATGAAATTTATGCAAAGGATTTTTTGCAATTATAATGCAAGTTTCACTTCTGGTATTCATATTGCAACTGATTTTTTTGGTGCATTAAGCATCTGTAAAACTTAGGCCCTTTTTGAGCCCTATTAATTTGAAGAAATGTATTGTGGAATAGTGATTGATAGAGAGTGTGTTGTTAAGAAAAAGAAGGATTTTTTTTTGATTTGCGTGTAATATTATTTTAATGAAAAATGTGAGGTTAAAAATGAGTACTGTAGAAAAAATAATGGGAAAAATATAATGTAAAGGATGACAGATAGGGGCTTAGAAACAGCTTTTTAGTTTATTTATCCATTTACTTTATTATCAAGCAATCATATCTCATCGTCTGTTATATTGGATTTACAGGAAGGTTTGAACTGATTATAATGGAAGAAGTTGTGGGTGATAATGCATCCCCTTTGACAGCACTAGCCAATTGGAGAAATGACTTTTCAAAAGCTTTCCAGTATTACTTGGATAGATCTGTTCCTCATATAACTCGCAGGTGGCTTGGAACGCTCGCTGCTGCTGCAGTTTATTTCATGCGTGTTTTTTATGTACAGGGGTTCTATGTTGTCTCGTATGGCCTTGGAATCTATATCCTGAATTTGCTGACTGGGTTCATGTCCCCGAAGGATGATCCGGAGCTTGAAGCCCTAGATGGAACTTCATTGCCAACTAAAGACTCTGATGAATTCAGACCCTTCATTCGTCGTCTGCCTGAATTCAAGTTCTGGTAAGATCTATATCGCTCTAGTCCATGGACAAGTTTTTCGTAGTTGTGTTTTTATGTCACAATTCTCATGCTTGTCTCCTTAACAACAATTAGTGACCAATATGGCGTTACACATTCTTTGTTAAATTAGGAACATGTTTGGCGAATGCTAAACAATTTATTTATAAGTAAATAATTAAGTTTTAAGTTAAATAATATTTTTATTAGTTAAAGTTGGAAATGCGTAAGTTACTTATTTTACAGAAAGTTAAGAGCTACTTACAGAATGGGTTACGTTAAGAATAATGCTTTTTAGCACAAGTGACTCAAGTCTATGTGGTATTGAGCTGTAACCAATTTGATTTTTACCTATTCTAGATAGTGGACCCCACTGACACAGCCTAGTGCCTAGTTCTTTAAGGTTTACTCTTAAGCTTAGCTAATGTGCTCATTATTGAGTTTCTAACACAATGTTTCTGTCTCGTGTTCCATGTTCGTATTGATTACGACTCTTATTAGTTTGCGACTACAATCTAATTTACTACTTAACACGTGGAAATTGACACGAATCACAGTCACTTTTATAGATTTCTGAGGGAGTTTACATATTGGCAGTTCATTAGTTTCTCTAATGACTAATGCAGTTGTCCTTATTGTTACATATTATGTCTCTTTATTATGTTCATTCTTAAAAATGAAGTCTTTGGTTGTTCTAATTATGTGTAGAAAGAACAAGAACGAAAAGTATTTTTTTTTGGACCTAGTAACAAGGAAAGTTGATTTTGTAATATCTACATCTGGACCTGGTACGGCTGGGGATTGAAGAATTTTTTATTTGCCATGGTCTATATGAGATAACATGCTTTTTGGAGTTCATTATAATGAGATTAAAATGAAGTTATTTAATGAGTCTCATGATAAGTGTGGATAATAAGTGGGTAGTAGTTGTAAATGTGTGGTTAAAATTAATGTTTGACTTTGACTTCAACTTATAATGAGATTATAATGAAATCCAAACAAGCACATCAGTTTGGAAAAACTGGGTACAGATAAAAAGCAGAGGTGTGACATAAATTTTGTTCTAGTCATCCTCCCTGATTATATATTGTTTCTGGGCCCAATTGTTTAGTTTAGATTTGTGAACTGATTAATTAATTTCTAATATTTATTAAGCTATTAAAATTCGCAAAGTAGAAAATGTTTGATTGTCTTTCTTTTCTCGTTTTTATAACTGATTAATTAAATACTCTTAATTTACAAAATCCAAACGCAACGCCACCTCAAATATGTGGGAAAACGAGAATTGGGACTGATGTGCTTTCAATATTCGGTTTCCCCATTCGTTATAGAACATTGAATTAAAAATTGTGCAACTGGAAACATCTGCACAAGTGGCCATGCATTCATCTTCTTTCTCTCTGCTGCTAGTTTTTTCTATTAGCATTTTTTGCTTCTCTTTTTTCCTGACAGATTTTTGTTTACCCTTTGTTTTATTGTTTCAGGTATGCAATAACAAAAGCTTTTTGTGTTGCCTTTTTAATGACCTTTATTTCTGTATTAAACATCCCAGTTTATTGGCCCACTTTATTCTTTTTCTGGGTCTTTCTGTTTTTACTCACAATGAAACAACAAATTACACACATGATCAAGCACAGATACATTCCTTTCAACATTGGAAAGCAGGTGAGAGCTTTATTTTCATTTTTCAAATTCTCGAAATATCAATATCTTCATGTATCTTGAAAATTGTATATAATGACTGCTCTTTCCTTTAAAACCATTTGATCAGATCTATGCTGGGAAGAAGTCTGCTGAAAGTACGAAGGTTCATAGGAAAGACTGAGGTTGGAAGTACACCTTCACACTTGTGACAGGAATCATGCAGACTTTGTATTTTAATTACTAAATTTCTTGGATTATTAAGCTCAAACATATTTTTAATGTCTGTAATATGCCATTTGTTTAAACTTAGACATGCTTGTAATATGCATGACTTGTTATTTTGAATGTGGAAGCGTAGTGTCTAATTTTCTAAATGTTGCATATCATGTGATTAACTTCTGGAAATGTATGATTTTTTATCTCACATTTCAAATTTGGGATCATATGTCACTATTAATCAGTTTATTGTAAACACTGAATGTCCACAAATTTTGATGTTTCCTGCCTTGCCAGTTGCCGTTATGGTTGTCCAGGTTAGAACTCATATATTTTCTTTTTAAAATCTGTTTGTATCTTCTTTTATGCCTTGCACTATGGTTTATGGTAATCAAGAATAATGGTGTCTTTGGATTGTCTGTGGGAAAGTTAATTGGATAGATTTATAGATTAATTGGGTAAATCACCTTTTGAGATCATAAACACCACGTGCAGTCAAATTCAACATTTCATTAGAGAGAGATCAGTGGAAAGGATTTGCCTAATGTAGTGATGAATCGAATGTAATGACTATATATTTATTGGGAATAGGATTTAGTTTGATGTTTGTTTAAGTATCTATGCTTGTTCGATGAAAATAAGATTTAGTTTGTTTGGTTACGTATCTATGCTTGTTTGCTAAATGTGCGTAATCTGTGACTTTATTTTTTTTACTTCCCGAGATTGCGCATGTTTCCTGCAAAAGAATGATGTTTACTTCTCCTCGAGGTTAATAAATCTACTCAAGAACTCAATTCAAATTCTTCTCCTACTAGTAGATTGAAGATATTTTATAGCTTGTTTAACAGTTTTAGATGAATTCCAGAATAGCATTGGTTTTTATATATCCTTTTAAGATACTAGGTGGAGTATAAACAAGTAACTCTTGACCTTTTATCTATTAATTGCTTTAGCTGTCTATTTCCTTCTCCAAATGAGTTCCTTTCCTTGAACTAGTAATTTGTTATTGTCCTTGTTATACTTTACTTTAAGGTTTCTCATAATTGATAATTCAATTTTTGAGTTATATTTTGGTCATCTACTTTTCCTGTTACATAGCGGAATTATTAGAATGGACGTTTGATCCCTGATTAATGATAGAGGATAACTCGATGGAATGGTGACTTAGGTGGTTAGAGCATGTCTTTGTCTATATCTAATGAAGTTCTCGTTTATAAGAATGATGTGATCTTTGTATAACGTGTTAGAAATAGTGAGGGTTAGACCAAAACAAATAATCTCAGTTATGATTATTAAAGATCCAGTGGTGTTAATTCTTGATTTGTGATAATGAGTGTGTACCGGCTGTATCTGTTTTTATACGTGTAGATGAATACTAATGAATTCAATGTACAATTAAGTTATGTAATAAAGAATTGCATCTGTACATATTGTTCAAGAAGATTATTAATGAACTTAAAAACTAGAGTAAATTATTATTCATTAGATAAGAGATTGTGGATTTGTTCTAAGGGCTACTGGATCGGGATGATCAGGTCGGATGAGGGTTGCTGTAATGTCTTGAAATTTTTTTCATCTTCATTATTTCATTCTTTTATAAAAATAGGTCCGAGGTGTTACCAAAATGTTCTTTATCTAATTTAAACGAAAATATCACTTTTATTAAGTGTTGAAATTTGAAAATGTGATCGATAATTTGATGACAATAAAATAAGATCTTAGGTAAAATTTTCATATTAAATATAATTCTTGAAATACTCCATTTCAAACTATTAGTTTAAGATTTAACATAAAATGTCGAATGTTGGATATCTAAAAATATTAAATAACGCGTATTAACATAAAGATATTATTCAAATAAAGGTTGACAATTATATTTTCTGGAAACTTTATTTGGCGACTCCATAAATATTAGTCGGTCAATCTTTCACGCGTCCACACGACTCGTTCTCATCTGAAAGGTTATTGTGAGAGTGAGTATTTTGAAAAACACTCAATAAGCATACGTGTACATTCTTATTAACATGATATAAATATAAAACTGACATAACGTACCAATATTTCTTAAGATTTTCATATCCTGTAAGAGTTAACACAACTGACCCAAAGGTCCATCCCGTAAGATTTAACATATTTGATCTAACGGTCTATCGTGAAGAATTTAATATAGAATTCGACTTGAAGGCCTTATAGTATTTCATGTCGAAATTTATATAAACATCAAGAAATAAAAATTTATCACTTTTTATGATGTATTTTTACCTCAATTGTTACCAAGATATCTGAAAATATAGCTAGTAAAAAAATACCAAGATATCTGAAAATATAGCTTATATATATATATATATGATACTTTGTTCAATCCCAAAAGTGTCAGTGGTGAAAATGTGTACAATATTAACTTCACGGTAGAAGAAAAATCAATCCATCTCAAATATACACACATATATATTTTCCACTACCGTGCATGTAAGTTACATAACTTAAAAGGCATTTTTTTTTATATGTTAACGAGGGTTAATGGAATTAATCATCATTGGTTAATAAAATTTAAACCAATTTAAAGTGAAGGTTATTGTTTAGGTTTTAAGTTAATTTAATTTCCTTTTCCAATTCCCTATAACCGTACTAGCGCCCTTTTTCTTCCCCCTTTTATTATTATATATTAATACAATATTTGAGGACAATACTTTTTCTTTCTATTAGGATAATTTGAGCATAATTAGCTCAAAATTACTTTTTATGCAAATAAGTGGATTGATATTATTTTTTAAGGTTTGAACTTAGTGTGATGACAATACCATAGTTATTAAAACCAGCCCAGCAAATTGGTGACCTGGGCCCTTGATCAGGCCCTGTCAGCTTATTTTATATAAATGCAAGTGGCCCGCTCAAAATTTGATTTTTGAATAATTTTCGAGCCTGTTCAACCCGATTGACTTTGAAATCAAATTTCAAAACTCTTTTACATTGAAATTGTAGGTATCAAAGATTTGAACGCTTGACCTCTATGTAAGTAGACGTCAACCTTACCACTAGTGCAAGCAATATTTTATTGTCTTTTGTTTAATAAATTATATCTAACCTATGAATAATTTGATACTTTTAGAAACTTTTTTAAAGAAATTAGTCCAATATTTACATTTACTTTGTAATTTCAAATAATTATTTTATATATTTATTTTCTTTGAAAAAAATTAATTTTAACTAAGATAAATTAAATAGATAATACACAAAACTTTTGTCAATAAATAATAAATAATTTGTAAATCACAAAAATGGGAAAAATATATTTTTTAATATAATATACAAAATTTAGCCATTATCAGTGATAAATGAGTTCAAAAAATCATCAATTTAAATGTATAGAAAAATTAGTGAGAAAGAACTTGAAAACTTCAATTTTGTCTCAAACAAAAAAATAAAAAAATAAAAAATTATACTTTAAAAATTATTAAATTATTTTTAAATAATGACCCATCGGTCCGACCACCGGTTCATCGGTCCAACCACTAACCCACTGACCCAGTACCTTGATCAGGTCGACGTCTGAGTCGGGTCTGATAATTATGGACAAGACTAAATATGGACCATTCCATTTGCTAAATGATCGATATTAAGTTTAGGCCCCGTATGAAAAACGGTAAGAAAAGTTTGGAGTGACGGTGTGAAGACTAGCTATGGCGCTCAAGAAAATGACACGGCAGAGATTCCATATCAGACCTTGAATTGGACAGGAGATGCAGACATGTATATTTGGTGTAACAACCTCCAACAACCGAACACCAAAAATCAAGACGGTGGCGTGCTTAGAACAACAATCACATGTTACATATATATATATCTAACCAATTGAGCACTGGGTTTGGAATTATTTAACATTATACTGTTATGCTCTAACATGGCCAGCTAATTGAGAAAGGGTCTTCTCTAACTGCCAAGCAAGTATTGCAGCTAAATAGAAGCATCCTACAGGGATTTCGAGCCTTCAAGGTATATTCGAATTTCACACAATGAATGTAAGAACATATGTTGTGATTTTAGTTTTCTGGGTTGTCCTCACCTTTGTCACTCCGGTGCTGATACGTCTATCTGCCTCTGCTAAACATCACCTGGAACTTCATGGTATATTATTTTTTAGTGCTGAAACCTCGTTTTCTTATTCTTCTTTTCAATCATCTTATGTTTTCTTCGTCTGTTAATATGTTTTACAGAAAGCAAAAGCAATTCTCGTAGTGACGACAAGCAAAATGAGAGTATCTTAGACTACAAAAATAGGGTTGCGGAAGAGCAATACAAGGGCCGCAGAGGGATAGAAGTGGGGAAGTTGCCTAGAAGGGCACTCGTGACTGCAGCAATTTCTCCGGCACCTTCTCCGGCACCAAAATCAGCTGTGAAGAGGGGTGTTTTTCCATTGATAGGATTTATTTTGGAATGATTGTGGGGATCATTTGGAGCAAATTTCAGCAGTAGAAAACGCTTATTGGATGAAATGTCATGACAAATTCTTGGAACTTGAGACAAATTCGTATGTGGATTGAATTCCCAGAAGCAATATAGTTATTTTATGATTGTAATTATTAAATATTGAGTGAAATTCAAAGAAATAAAGAAGGAACCAATTGTAAAGATTCAATTTTGTTGGAAACCAAACAGATTCGGTTTTGGTGGTTTGGAAGACTACTCCATCCAGAAGTAGATTGAATTCATGCCGTGTACGCAAATGTGAAGATCAAGATATTTGAGGGTGAAAAGGTAAAATAAGAAAAAACCGAATCAAAACTGTCTAATTGAAACAGTGATTTGTTGCTTCAAGATTTCGTCAAAGAAATGGTTTTGAACCCAGCGGAATCGTTATAAAGGGTATCTATATTAGGTTTCGATATTTTAATTGAGAAGTTTTTGGTGACGATTCTTTTGTTTTGCTTTTGGGGAATTATAAAAAATGTCACTTTTTTTTGAAAATGCACCAAAAATTTGTATGTGTACATAATTAAAAAAAAAAAAAAAAAAAGAAAGAAAGAAAAAATAGAAGAAGTACAAAACCCTATTTTAACATCAACCAAACCCTCACTTCATCATTCTTCTTCATTCCTTGATCAAGAATACACAACTATTACATTCATCAGCCATTTGAAGAAGTTAGTTATTACGAATTGTTTATATTTTTATCGAATAGGTTTATCTTTTTTAAATATTAAAAACAACATGATCATCAAAGTGAAGAATGATTTTGAAACTTTTATTAATCATGATGCTCTTGATTTGTGAAAAATTTTTGAAGGGAGAAGATACCAAAAATAAATTCCAAAAAGATTTGGGCAAATGTTAAGTATAATATTCCATATTTAATGAAACATTCAGTCATTTATTTTTGGACAGATGCTATGATGATGTAGTTGTTGTAGCTGAGAATTCATTATAACCATTAATATTTCAAACAAGGTACTAAACACGTCTGAAGCTTTTGAACAGTTCTGACAGTTTAACTGTCGAACTCGACATTTATAAACTGTCTGTCAGGTTAGACATTTGAACTGTTGAAATCAACGTTGATGCCCTTCATTTCACCTTAATTTTCTGCATGGGTTTAAATATTCGAAAGTGCCACTTCCATGCTATTACATATCGACATATTGATTGTAAAGAATTCTTATCGTTCTAATCCCAATATTTCAGGTATGGACAATCATTTCAGATTCATCGTGTCATATGGAGAAAAGTTCATTCACGTGGATGATGAATGGAAGTGGACAGGGGACAAAACCACTTCCATTTTAGTGCCGAGAAGTATTACCCTAGCCGGACTTCTGTTACTGTTAAATGACAAACTTGGTGTTATTAATCCGCGCACCAAAATTGAATTGAAGTTCAGAGTCCCGAACTTCAATTTACCACTGGCCGAAATACGTGAAGATGAAGACCTAATTTGGTACAAATCTGTTCTTATGGAAACTGCCCTCTGAATTACTATTTTGGAAACTGATTTGTCGAGTTTTGACATGGGGAGGAATACAAATTTGAATGACCCTTTGTTCGGAGCAGCTGATGGTTCCCATAACGTACAACACGATTACATCCGTCATGAGCATAGTGTCCCAAGCAATAATGTAGCTGATAGTCCAATTGAATACGTTGGGGCTGCACCATTACATGAGATGTTGGATGACCCGTTACATGGTACAAATGGTGCTAATTTTGCAGACGTTCACGAGGGAATGTCAGCACATTTGTAGAGTTCGGATACATACCAATAGATTACAAGTGTAAATACTTTCGATCTTGTTGAACGGCAGATATTCTTCAGTAAGAAAGAGCTATATTCAAAAATTCATGTGCTTGCTTTACAGGAGAAGTTCCTTTTTAAGGTCAGCAGGTCGAGCCTCAAAATGTTAACTGTCGTATGCTCAGACGATAATTGCAAGTGGACGTTACGGGCTTCGAGTGTGAAGCAGTCTGCAATATTCATGATCCGTAAATTTAACAATGTGCACACATGTTCTGTAGATTTCCGTCGTAACGCACATCGACATGCCACTACTTCTGTAATTGTCGAGCATATTTTGGAGAAATTAGATAATCCATACCAATCAAACGATCCTACCACTATTGCGCGTGACATGGAACGCGAGTTTGATGTGAAACTAAGTTACCAAAAAGCACATAGGGATAAGGTGTTTGCTTTACATATGTTACACGGTACACCGGGGGATAGTTTCCAGAAGCTATCCTCATATTGTCACGTCCTAGGATAGAGTAACTCGAGGACAGTTACCCACATTGAAGTTGATTCCTATAACAGGTTTTATTACTTCTTCCTGACATTCGGTGCAAGCATTCGTGGTTACATGCACTACTTGAAACCTGTTATTTGTGTTGACGGTAGTCACTTGAAAGGTTCATACAAAGGTACACTACTGCTGGCAACTGGCCAAGATGCTAACAAACAGATTTATCCCCTAGCATGGAGAATCGTCGATGTCGAAATGAATAGATCTTGGATGTGGTTTCTGTCAAACTTGAAAGAGCTTATAGGCAACTTGGACGAACTCGTTTTTGTTTCCGATAGGAAAAACGGTATTTCTAATGACATTGCTCATGTATTTCCCCAGTCTCACCATGGATACTGTATTTGGCATTTGGCGAAGAACTTAATCTAGCGGTACAACAATGCAAGTGCAATATTTCTATTCAAACGAGCTGCAAGAACTTCTCTGGTCGAAGAGTTCGAAAGACTTATGAGACAGATCCGTAGGGTAAGTGAAAAAACGTATGGGTACTTGGAGCGAGCTAATTTTTCATTTTGGTCTCGAGCACTATTCTTTGGGCAACGTTACAACATATTAACAAACAACAATGCAGAATCTTTGAACTCAATGTTGAGACATGCATGTTCATTGCCCATCACATGCTTGGTTGAACATATTCGCCAAACTATGCAAAAGTGGTACTACGAACGTCGAACCAATGCAACCACATGTAGTGCCGTGTTGTCATCGAGGATGGAAAGTGAGTTACGGACAATGTTCGAAGCAGGTGCAAGGCTTCGAGCTCAAGGCCCGACAGACAATTTAACACAAGTTGGACAGTTCAATGACACGGACATCCTGGACTTTTCCGATAACACGTGCACTTGTCGTGAGTTTCAGCTTAATCGTATGTCATGCATTCATGTAAGTCGTGTTGCCTGCTTGCAAGGTAAGTTATTGTACGATTTATGCTCATCATTTTACACATCAAAATACTGGAGGGGTGCCTATAGTGAAGCAATCTATCCTGTTACACGTGAAATGGACTGGATTGTCCCGAACGAAATTACAGGTACTGCTATTCTACGACCAAGTGTACTTCGTCCTCCAGGTAGACCACCCACACGACGTCATCGATCCAGATATGAGTCCACCACACGAGTAAGGAAATGCAACCGCTGTGGTAGAGTGGGTCAGAATCAAAGCACATGTTCGAATCCCTTTCTAACACGACCCGTTCAAATAGGCTCATCTCCGTGACTGTGGACGTTGTATGTTTACTTCTTACCGATGTCGTTTGTACTAAACCAATGCAATTATTAGTATTTTGTTATCAATTGTACCTTTGCGTCACATTAATTCCATGTTCCTGCATGTCTCTACCATTCTCTGTACGGAAATGAACTTATATGGGCCAACTTGTAATAATAGAGAAGTTTTCCATAGTTACAGTTAAATTGTCGGTCTGGACAGATATCTCATTCATTCTCGACAGTTGATGAAAAGTTGCACCGCATTCAATATCAGCTTCACGTACATGGTGAACTGTACATTTCGTTCACACGATGAAATAAAATTACAAATCTTACAGGACACATCTTTAAAAGCGTACAACTCACCCTCCAACTGCACAATCATGCTAAATACTTGACGATAGTAAACAACACCTACGGTCCATCGACTGTCCACGTAAGAACGATTTTTTCAGTCCTTGCTAAGTAAATAATAAATTGCAACATTTTAAATAGTTGACTGAATTGAGGGCATGATGTACCCCATTTTTTAACATCCGCTCAAGATATGTTGTGTGCATACCCATTATGGCCTTACATTATTCCGAATTTGCACACGCAAGAACACATGGCACCAATAACCTCCCAGTTTTGGGTGCACTCAAAAATGCATCTTTCAATCCCCACGAAATAGATTATAATTCGCAACATCGTCAATACCCGACACGATTGACCACAATTGAGCGCACGATAAACATAATTTCATAACATTGGTTCCATGTACTACAAAATACGGGTCCATTTACATAATACTTCCATTGAAGCCCGACACTTCATTTGTCGTTCTCGACAGATTGTGTCTACCATTCTCGACATCTGGACCCCAAAATACACCATTCGTGACATCCTACGGGCATAGTCATGCATACCTTTACAATTTGTGTTCATCGAATAGAAAATGTACAAAATACAGGACTATACATCACTTATTCACTACGAAACATTGGTCTCACTTCATTCATCCTCCACAACTGACCCTTGTCCCCCGCTGTCATCACTCGACTCGTTCGACGAGATGATAATTAGCTCATTATGTGGGACGTAAGCCAGCCAGTCGTCGTAGTCGTCGTCGTTTCCCCCCTCATATTCAACGTCGACCTCGAAACCCTCATTGAGCACTTTGTTGGGTGATTGTGCACCTTCTGCCGCTACATCTTCCAAGTTCAGAAACGGAACGGGAGAAATGGCTCTCCTACTAATACGAGGCTTAGCTTCCTCATCGTCTAATGAAATGTAGATTGGAAATAACGGAGATGAACCGGGAACTGGTAATGGCTCGTTGACGTTGAATGGTTCGGTGCTTCCTGTGGACGAATTCATTATATCGATGTAGTAAAGTAATGATGAAACGAATAGTGTGTTAGGACTTCTAATTCTCAGAATGGTATTCAACTAGGTTGTTTGTAAGGGACAATGAACTCATATCATGTATTTATAAGCAAGAAGAATGGGGGAAGCACGACCAAGTGTACTTCGTCCTCCAGGTAGACCACCCACACGACGTCATCGATCCAGATATGAGTCCACCACACGAGTAAGGAAATGCAACCGCTGTGGTAGAGTGGGTCAGAATCAAAGCACATGTTCGAATCCCTTTCTAACACGACCCGTTCAAATAGGCTCATCTCCGTGACTGTGGACGTTGTATGTTTACTTCTTACCGATGTCGTTTGTACTAAACCAATGCAATTATTAGTATTTTGTTATCAATTGTACCTTTGCGTCACATTAATTCCATGTTCCTGCATGTCTCTACCATTCTCTGTACGGAAATGAACTTATATGGGCCAACTTGTAATAATAGAGAAGTTTTCCATAGTTACAGTTAAATTGTCGGTCTGGACAGATATCTCATTCATTCTCGACAGTTAATGAAAAGTTGCACCGCATTCAATATCAGTTTCACGTACATGGTGAACTGTACATTTCGTTCATACGATGAAATAAAATTACAAATCTTACAGGACACATCTTTAAAAGCGTACAACTCACCCTCCAACTGCACAATCATGCTAAATACTTGACGATAGTAAACAACACCTACGGTCCATCGACTGTCCACGTAAGAACGATTTTTTCAGTCCTTGCTAAGTAAATAATAAATTGCAACATTTTAAATAGTTGACTGAATTGAGGGCATGATGTACCCCATTTTTTAACATCCGCTCAAGATATGTTGTGTGCATACCCATTATGGCCTTACATTATTCCGAATTTGCACACGCAAGAACACATGGCACCAATAACCTCCCAGTTTTGGGTGCACTCAAAAATGCATCTTTCAATCCCCACGAAATAGATTATAATTCGCAACATCGTCAATACCCGACACGATTGACCACAATTGAGCGCACGATAAACATAATTTCATAACATTGGTTCCATGTACTACAAAATACGGGTCCATTTACATAATACTTCCATTAATTTCATAACATTGGTTCCATGTACTACAAAATACGGGTCCATTTACATAATACTTCCATTGAAGCCCGACACTTCATTTGTCGTTCTCGACAGATTGTGTCTACCATTCTCGACATCTGGACCCCAAAATACACCATTCGTGACATCCTACGGGCATAGTCATGCATACCTTTACAATTTGTGTTCATCGAATAGAAAATGTACAAAATACAGGACTATACATCACTTATTCACTACGAAACATTGGTCTCACTTCATTCATCCTCCACAACTGACCCTTGTCCCCCGCTGTCATCACTCGACTCGTTCGACGAGATGATAATTAGCTCATTATGTGGGACGTAAGCCAGCCAGTCGTCGTAGTCGTCGTCGTTTCCCCCCTCATATTCAACGTCGACCTCGAAACCCTCATTGAGCACTTTGTTGGGTGATTGTGCACCTTCTGCCGCTACATCTTCCAAGTTCAGAAACGGAACGGGAGAAATGGCTCTCCTACTAATACGAGGCTTAGCTTCCTCATCGTCTGATGAAATGTAGATTGGAAATAACGGAGATGAACCGGGAACTGGTAATGGCTCGTTGACGTTGAATGGTTCGGTGCTTCCTGTGGACGAATTCATTATATCGATGTAGTAAAGTAATGATGAAACGAATAGTGTGTTAGGACTTCTAATTCTCAGAATGGTATTCAACTAGGTTGTTTGTAAGGGACAATGAACTCATATCATGTATTTATAAGCAAGAAGAATGGGGGAAGCAATTATGTTCATCATCTACCCAACTACCATGTCTAATGTCCTTGTCAATGTGAAAGCAATTGGTGTGATTGTTCAATAAGTAAAGTGTACATTTATCCCCATTTTCCCATAATTAGCAAGACCTATTAGGCTCATTTAACCAAGTGTAGTATTAAGAAATGGGGATGTCCTGCAAGTAAAATATTGTAAAACTAATTTCTAGTTACTTGTACCATAGCGAAAAGGCTACAGGTCTTGCCTGTATGCCTCATGATCTGAACATACATGTTCAACGACGCATTGAAAATAATGACAGAGACATGAACTCATTTTGTAACTCGAAGGTTTTGGTTATCATGGTTTTGACATTTTTAATGGCCCATCATCCGAATTTTAATTAATATTATGAATGAATTTGCACGTGATAATTAATACAATAACTTAGGACCGCCGCGGATATATGCCGTCGTAGTGCGAGCCAAGGGGCTTCATTGCAACACAAATACCTCTATGTTTAAACATTTCAAATAGATGTTACTAGACGTCCAATTCGAACAAATAGCACATCAACTCTTTCAAGTAGGCGGAAATTTTACACCCCAAACAAAAATATAAAATTCCACACTGTCACTGTGTGCTGCATCTCATGTACATGCACCAAATATGACGTTCAGCTTACCAGCCTTCGTCATAATGAGCTCCCATCTCTGCAACCTACGTTTAAATAAATGCCTTCAATTACAAATATAAGTAATCATTATCAGATTTTACTTTAAGGATCTATATTTACTTTATAGAAAGCATTTTTCTACCCCTGCTGACAGTGAGGATAAAGTAACAGGATCGGTTAATATTTTTATGAACTCATAACTTCACTAGCCAACTATGCACTCATACATTGACATTATTTTTCTCCACATGCTTGAAGAATACGAAAAGGTATGTGACGTTGAAG